TTTTTGTTCAATCCTTCAGTTTAGCAGAAAATTCACATTCAAAATCAACAATTTTGGAGATACAAGGATTTCATTGGAAATGAAGGGTATAAATGTAATCTGCAAGGTAAATAAAGCTGTCAGACAAATGTTGCGGAGTAAAAAGTACAATATGTGCTCCAGAGTAGTAATGGAGTAGAAAATATAAAGTAGAAGATAAAATGTACCTTGAAATAAGTAAGAAATGAGTAAATGTTCTTGTGTTTGTTGAGGACTTTTGTAGTCCACTTATACATGCATGAGGTCTTCCAAAATACATGTTTATCACAAAGAATAGTAGAGAACCGAAGTCAAATTCTGCATTTTTCTTTATTTTTTCATGCTTCCAAACATGTCTCTATCAGGTAATAATACATCAACATTGCAGAATATATACAAACATTTCAAATAATTCAATAGAACATTTGACAGATTAATCTCTCTTAGAGACAATGTTGTTGCATTTTGTACACAAAGTAGATCTTCGTACACAAGTATATTATGCTATTGTAATAAATCAATGCAAAAGATCAGTCATATGAACACCATATAACTATAATAAAGTTGTTGTTTTTTTTCTTAGCATTTTTCTACCATTCAGGTTTAAGGAAGTCTATACAGACTTGAATAGCACACTGATATCCTGCTATAGGTTTGCAAGTATAACAGTACAGATTACCTTTTCATTCAAGAGAAAGGCTATTGAGTCAATGGACGCCCTCAGATACCAAAGACCCCATTCATCAGTTCTGAACTCACTGCTCATGTGGCATCATTAGATGTTGTGCATCGTTGCCTGCAGAAAGTCATCCCCTCACTGAACTACAACTCACTTAAGCGCTACTTGCCATTTCCAAACACAATAAGAGGTTGTGATTGGTTGTGATACTAGCACCTTGGGCAAGGCTGTGTTTGTGAATTGATAACAACATACACACATGGTGAAGCTGCGTCAAATCAGGCCATTAGATCAGACTAGCACTGTGCCAGGCTGTGCTTGATGATCTCGCGGGACTGTGGTGGGATCCTGTCGGGGAAGAGCACCTGGAACTCCACCACCAAGTCGCCACGCTGGGACGGGCTCTTGGGCATTGGCAGGCCTTCGCCCCTCAGCCGCCGGACGGCACCTGGTTTGATAACATCGCTGCTTGGTAGAGGCATCATTCGGTTGTCAAGTGTTGGGACGTTTACTGTGCAGCCACAGAGAGCCTGGAGGAGAGAAAAAAAGGAACAAAAGGTTAGTTCTGTAGACCTGTTATATTTAGAACAAGTTTCATAAGGTTTCTGAGTGGTCTGACTGGGATGAAGTACACTTGGAAAAAAAATCTATTAAATGCCTGATCTTTTAAAAGTTACATAACGGTTAAATATGGAGTGTCTTTGTAAAAGCATAATGATTTTCTGTGTTATGCAACAAACCGGTGTTACAATTGTTATAATCTCTGCCCTATTTTCTGACTGTGTGTGGGAGTAAGTGCTTTAGTGACTGAAAGGAGCCATAGGAAGATGGAGGAGCTCTTTGAAATGCCAGTCTCTGTGACTGCTACCCTGCTAATCTGTGTGTGGGCTGGTAGAAGTGAGAGCCAGCGAGGGAGTGGGCCAAAAAAGCTGCCTCTCTGCCTGCCTTGTCGAGGCAGAGGAGTCTGCAGCACACATAGTAGCTGAGAGCGAGAGTGAAGTGCGATTTGTGGGGGCAGTCTGTGCCGAGGCTAAATTTAGCTCCTGCTCTCTCTCACTCTGCAGGGGCCGATGATGTAGCTGAGGCGTTGGCAGGCTGCTGCTGCTGTTCTGTTAGTGGGGGTCTGTCAGCCCATTGTAAGCTGGGGACACAAATGCCTATAACAGAACACCCTGTTCTGTCCTAAGAATGTATTCAAGGATATATCCCTGCCTGCAGTTGGCAGAAATTACTCCTTCTTTCGTACGTCTTATTGATGCCTTTCAGTAATTGATTTTCTTCAGTATTTCAGAGAATGGATCAGGCGATCAGTTATATAAAGAACAAGATGTGGTGGAAAGATTTTAGCCTTTCTCTGAGTAGGTGAGTAGGTGTAAGTGGTCATATAGTATATCTACTTATTGACCAATCCCATGTTGCGTAATAAATCATTCATTTACTCAGGACCAAGTCAAACTCTTAACCCTGATAGACCTCTAAGCTTGATGTAAAGGCTCCAAACTCACCTCTTTGAGGGTGATCTTGGCTGTGTAGACGATGTTGGAGCCATCTCTCTTGTACTGGGTGTGCTCCTTGTCTCTGAGAATGAAGGTGATGTCTGCAGGGGTGCTGTTGGGCGTCTCATCTCCCTCCCTGGGGAAGGTGATCCTGGTTCCCGCTCTCCAGCCTTTCTTCACCACCACATTTAGCACCTTGTCCTCAGTTCGCAGGCTGCGGCTGTCGGGGTTGAGGCGGCTGCGGGTGATCTTCACGTGCTTCGTGCAGCCGTGCATCACCTCCTCCAGGGTCACAAGCAGGTCGTGCACCACTTCTTCGCCCTGCAGCCGCCGCTGGCCTCTTCGCAGTCCACCCTCAAACCCGCCAACGTGGCTGAAGGGGAACCGCCTGAAGGGGTTGAAGAGGTCATCTTCGCTGTCAACGTCAGAGCCAAAGAAGATGTCGAAGTGGTCAGAGCCGTGGAAGAATGAGGAGAATGTGGCGTGGGGGTCACCCTGGAAATTATTGCGGAAAATGTTGCCTTGGCCGGCCATTGACATTCCACTTTTAAGGCCTAAAAAACACAGAGAAAAAGAAAGAGTTCAGTTAAATTCATAAAAATATGCTAATTTGATAAAACCCTTCTTTCTAGAAGGTTTAATAAACATCTGCTATTGAGGAGTTTTATGGAAAACACTGCTCTCTCAATAATTAATCACCCCCACAGCTGTCTATCCTGCACATGTTCATCTAATAGGAGTGGAAGTGTTTTAGTCATGATCCTTCCACTGCACTTGAGCATTTATCCTTGATGTTGACATGAATAGTTAATCCACCAGCCTCTGCTACAGTAATTAGCCAGATGGCAGTTACTATTTCAGGTATGCAACAATTGCAAATGAAATCACAACAGTGTCAAAACTCTCTCACTCTCACCTTCTTCTCCAAACTGGTCATATATGCTTCTCTTTTTGGGGTCAGTCAGGATCTCGTAGGCCTCTGCGATCTCTTTGAACTTGTCCTCTGCATCGGCGTCGCTGTTCTTGTCTGGGTGGAACTTGAGAGCCATCTTCCTGTAGGCCTTCTTGATTTCGTCTTCATTGGATTCAGGGGTAACACCCAGGATTTTGTAGAAGTCCTTGCCAGTGGGCTTGATGGACAGGCAGGGAGTGTCTGGCTCAGACTTAGTGCTTTCCTATGGAAACAAGAACAATCAGACATTAGACCATTTAATTGTCATATCTCCATTAATAAAAATCTGGTCAAAGAATTTACTTTTTGCAAATGTCTTTAAATCTCATACTGGCAGTGTTTCATGGACAGTGTTATATGCTGCAAAAAGGCTGACGATGAATCACTAATAAACATGTAAATCTATGCCCTAGAATAGAAAACAGGATGGATGATGTACACAGGATGGACTGAACATCCTCCACACCAACTGCTGCACAGTGTCTATTAATATGCAGACAATCAGCCTGCAGCAAAGACTCTCTCTGGGAATATACCCTTATCTCTGTGCTGCTATGCAACTGCATACCCGTGAATTTTATAAGCTGGTGCACAACACAACGTGAGCGAAAAGGGGGTGAAATCGTGAGGGGGACAAAAGACTTCCCCCAACGACCGAGATTCTCTACAGCGATTGGCTGAGCGCGAATCGGCGACTCTTGTATTTGAATATACCCACAGCAACAGTCAATGATGATTAAACTCGGAGAGATGCCGGTACATTTAAGATTACTGTTTTAAAGTGATTGTACTAATATAACATGCCTTGTATTAAACTTAAGTATCCTAGCAGTGCATTCAACTCACTATAATTTGAGAAATTGATCATTTAATTTAAAAAAATCTTTTAAATGATAAAAACATTAAAAAAACATAAAACTTTCCAAAAGAAATGTACTTACCGCTGATGATGATGAGCCTGAGCTGTCGCCTCTGTGCATAACTCGCACTTTGCACTTGACATTGACATTTTTGTGCTTCACACCGAACTGAGTCCAGATGAGAACCATGATGGATGCTGGATAGTTTTGGGTTTGTTTGTTAAGGGGCTATGTGTCGCTGTCCAGTCGCGCTGGTGCTGAAATCTCTCCGCTTCGTCGGGCTTCGTCCTGTCCTGAGCTCTTCTCGGCTCTCTGTTAAATACTGCCGTGGCAGCTCCTCTACTATACTCTCACCCACCCACGCAGCGTGACCGAGCTTTCCCCGGATCCGCCCATTTCCTGACGCGCGGCAGGGGATACCGGTGTCCTCAGCTCGGTCGGTGGAAAGTCATTGGTGCTCCGGCGATGATCACGCGGATGTTGCAGCCCCCTTCTCCATCTCTAGACATGTTTCCGGAGTTCTTGAAGGCAGAGCCGAGCAGGCAGTCACGACACAGTACAGAGAGTCCTCTTTTTTTTTTATAATCACAGACAGAACAGAACAGAACAACCAGACATGCAGTTAAAAGATCCTGCTGGCTGCCCAGACAACCCCCAGACAGTCAATCAAATGTCCTCAAATGACATTTTCTGCACATTTGAACGCCATTTAAATACATATACATGCTTTATATCTTTGCAAATTATGATAGAATGCATGGAATTTAGCCATGTTTTTCTTATTTTAGTGGGTTTTGAGTCTTCTTTAGAATAGCTGTTTTAAACAGCCTTTAATTCTGCAGTGATACCCCCGTGCCAAAAAACCCCCCCTGATATTTGAGGGGGCATGCATGAACAGAATATATGATCAATTAGTGTTCACATAGGGTTTATACAATAACATGAATGCCTGTACACGAGTCCTGCATTCAAAACCCTACAGTAAAAGCAAATATCAACACAATGTTCTTAAAGTATCAAACCTGAAAGTACTCATTCTGCAGAAAAATGTCCCCAAGTGATGAATTATGTATGACATTATTATTCATACTTATGCATCACACATGTAAGCTGCATTTTACTGCTGTAGCTGGTTTTAAGTTGAGCTAGTTTTAACTACTCAACATACAGTTCAGTATTTTAGCCCAGTGGTTCTTTATGGGGTAAGAATAACCAAACAAAGCAAAGTTCTGTATAACATATTAGTTTGTATGATAAAACCATTTGAGAAGACATGAAAGGGGAATTCAGTCTTTGATTGAGCTGCAAACAACAAATATCAGAGGAACTACTGCTTTAATCTTAAAAGATGCACTGTAATTTCTAAATTAAATTATATTTTATGTCGAATCTTAATCTGAAAGTAACTAGCAACACTCTGTGAAATAGATATAATGGAGTAAGGGGGAATGTATGCCTTATAATTTTAAAAGATCAAAAATAAAAGAATAAAAATTGTTTATTGACTTGCACTTCCAGGATTATTTCCTGTAGCTGAAATTAACTTGGACCCAAATTGCTCTCTTAATGGACTTTCACAGACAAGGTCAATAAGCTTTACAGTGGCAGTATTTATCTAATGCTTTTCTGTTTCCATTAAATTGTGTAGTTGCTCATTTAAATGTGTCCTCACCCGTAGTTTTGCATAACAACTGTGTAGAGTATAGTGCTGCAGACAATAATTCCAAGACAATGCAAATGAGCCACTTAATAACCAACAGCAAACAGCTGTGGATGGAAGGTAAGCTTCAAGTTATGTAACTGAATGTGATGAAAAACCCTTGTGTTGCTTTTTGATTTCCAAATAACCTCCTCCTGTGAAAATTCAACATATCACCTCAAAAGCTTGTTGATTGACTGAAGAATTATGATTATCTTGCCAGGAACATTTAAAAAAAAAAAGGTGATTGAAAATGATTGGCATAAGAAAAGCAGTCAAACTGTCTGTGTTTTCAAGTTAAATATCTAAATGGAATAATAATTGTTACATGTCAAAAATCAAAAACATAAGAATTGTGCTTCCTGTTGGCAGTGCATTCCTACTAAAAAGCGTATTACCACAGTCACTGAATAAGTTAACAGGGCACAGACTTTTTTTGCCCTTACATAATAGTAGAACAGGTTGGGTTGTTCTGAACGTGCATTATATGAAGACATTGTATAAGTCAATGTTTATGCAGTTTTATAATCTAGATCCTAGTGCCATTTTGCATCTTAACAATACAATACAGGCGGTTGCTTTTGGCATGTTGCTGCTCCATATGATACATTTAACTTTACTGCAGTTCTGTTGTGATGCTGAATAAAGTGTTGGCTGGTGAAATAAATGGCACACAGAATCCCTATTTAACTGTAAAGATCCATATCTACTGTAAAAACTGACATTACTGTTCTACTATTATGCAGTATTATATTAGAAGAAGAAGAAGAAGAAGAAGAAGAAGAAGAAGAAGAAGAAGAAGATATGCTATTATATGATATTCAAATATTTTTGTCAATAAAAGAAATGAAGGGATGAAATAGAAATTAAAAAAACTCAAGACCCCCACCCACATGCCTATCAAGACAACTCCCCCTTCAACAAGTACATAGCCCTCTTCCCCTTTCTGACACCATCTGCCCTCTTAATAGGTTCTGTTCAGTCCCTAGCCAAGAATATATTTTGTAAAGATGGTAGTAATTGAGGAAAGTCTATTTATGGGGCTTGTGTGGTGGTAAAAATCTCACATACCCACATAATCATGTTCACTTAAAATTCATCACCACATGAAGGTCACTCTTCCTGAATGAAATGCAGCAAGTCATCTGTTTGAATGCCACTTTTACTCTCATTGAAAAAGAGTCACTATTTCTATTTCGAGATCATACTACAAGATTACGACACAGCGTCAGTGCAACCATGGATATGGAAATCAGTGTTACAGGGAACGTACATACATGGCAGTGCTTCCTCTGCTGTGATGCTTCATACATCCAATGGGGGAAGGAGTTTCCTGGGGATTCTCCTTTCGTCGTACAGGAAACGACAGACAAATTTGGTTTGAACATGTTGAGCCAGGAGCGTCATGCACAAGATAGCAGCTCTTACATAGTATTCACAGATTGAGTGAATCAGAAGAGCCTCTTACATAGCGCTCTTTCTTCCTGCCCACGGGAACAGTCTGACTGTGTGTTTGGCCTGTTTTTCACACATTCAAGCTGTCTCTCTCACAGAAACACATACAAAGTTGCCTGTCAGTCTTGGAGAAAATAATGCTAATTAAGGTTCCAAGCTGCACTGACACTGTTATTGTTAGGTGGCGAGAAGGCGGACAGCTTACATGCAGCCTAGTGTTCTTGGGGTGTTGTTTGGTGTTCTCACATTCTCAGTAGTAAATGCATGAACAGCCACAATCTCTGGGTTTGTTTGTGCCCCCAGTCTATCTGCAATTAGTAAAGTGTTACTCAGAGTTAAGTTCAACATACTATATATGTATGTATGTATGTATGTATGTATGTATGTATGTATGTATGTATTTTATAACATAAAATAAAAACAGTTCAGTTGAATATCCCCTTTTGTATTGCTTTAGTGCATAATCAGTCATAGCAATCGTGCCTTTACCCAGTACATGCTGTTCCCATTACATATACAATGGGGGACTCTTGAATGCCGCAATAGTAGCTAAATGATGATAAAGTGTCCTCTAGGGTGCTAATCTTTAGTGTAAATTCATCACAACTGGTGCCCTTTTTTATTTTTTGCACCTCAAATAGTCTGCCACTGCACATATCTACAACAGCTTTCACCAACCTTGTGTAGGGGATATGTGAAAACATAAATCAATACAATGTCAGCTTGTCAGTCAGTTCACCACTTTGGTCCAGACTTGAAATATCTCAACAACTTTTAAATGGATTGCCATGAAATTTGGTACGATGAATCCTAATGACTTTGGTGATCCCTTGATTTTTCATCACCATGAGGTTCTGTAGAGAGACATATCTTGACAATTATTGGATGCATTACTATGAAATTTGGCACAGAGGTTTTTGTTCCACACAAGATGAGCTGTGATAACTTCGGTGGTCCCCTGACTTTTCCTCTAACGCCATCACTGGGTCAGCATTCTAACTTCCAATCCTTCGGTTTATGACCAAATACTATGTCAGCTGCCTGTACTTAGTGTTTAGTGCTAATTAGAAAATTGGCAGCATGGTAACCATTCGTGTGTTAGCATTGTCATTGTGAGCATGTTGCCATGCTAGCATTATTATTTAGCTCGAAGCACTCCTGTGCCTCAGCACAGCCTCACAGAGCTGTTAGTGTAGCTGCAGACTAGAATTGTTCATATTATCAGTTAACTATTTAGTTATTTCCCAACATGAAGGTCTGTTTCAAAGCTCTCTCCACACTGCATTTATGCTGCGTTATTTTATTTTATTTTTTTACCTAAAATACTAGGATTATCCAGCTGAGTAACCATTGGCCAATGTTTTGCCAACTAATAGAGGCAGGCTAACATAGCTTAGCCTTAGAGGCTCTTAGCCACACAATAAAACAAACGAGGGGACCCCTGTGCCTGTCATCTCTCCACTATTTCTAAAGCATAAAATCCAAAAAATAAGTGGTGCAGCCCTCACAACTTAAATCTCCGCAAATCTGAACCAAAAATTATGCTATTTTGTTCATTTGATGGATGAAATTAATAATCTTGTGGAAACTAGTGTGGCCAATGTCCAACTAAGTTAACCCTTTGTCACCCACCCATATAGGTTTTTAACAGCAGACTGTAAACTCGTGTTTTTAACCACCCCACCAAGTTACCAGACGAAAGCAAACAGACAGCTGGTACAGGGACACAGGCAGACGCTTGCATGCATATGCAGGTGTATGTGACTGCGAGGGGTGAGGTTTTATCTTTCACAGGTTCGGCTCAATCTCACTCTCTGCTGTTAGGTTTTGTGGGAGCCGTTGCCGCCCGCAGGGGACTCAGGAAGGTGAATCACGCTGCTGTGAGGACACAGCAGTGACACAGGGGAAGTGACACCAACCTCATCTCACATCATCCCACTGCCAACACTTGTCCTGTCCTTCAAAGGTCGCTGGATGAATCAACGTTGTGTAAAAGGCCACAGTAAAATATACTGACTAAGGTCAGTTTTACCTACAGGCTACAGAGGAACAGAGAAAATATTAAAGGCAGCACTGAAGTTTCCCTCTCTAATGCCTTTAGAATATTAAGTAGAAAACCCTTTGATTTCAGTAGTTATTGGGTTCAAATGGAGGGCAGAGAAAAAAAATGCACATTAGAGACATCTGAGAAATCATAACAGGTCATATTTTATCACCAGGCAAGAAAATGCGATGTTCTCATTTTCAACTTCTTCCCCTCTCCCTCGTCTAGCACCTTCTCCCCCGATGTACCGCCACTCCCACACATGTCTGGGAGTGTGACTGTCTCCTATGTGTAACACTGGCTAGACGAAAGCCATGTGCCTCAGCGCACCAGATACACAGACAGGCAGATGGCAATAAAGACACATACAAGATGTACTCATAAAAGTAGATATAAATGCAGACCCAGACCCAGACAGAGCTCTGTACGTTTTATCAACTGACATCTTGGTATTTTCTTTTTACAGAGATGAAAATCTTGCTTGAGGAAAAAGGAGAGAGGCTGTCAAATGGGAAGAAGAGGCAGATAATGGCAGAGAAGGGAAGTGGAGGAAAGTAGAAAAAGTAGTAGTATAAGGGTTTATAAAAACATGTCAAATTGAGGGAGAGGCACAAGAAATCAAAAGAGAGGTAAAGAGGAACAATCAGAGAAAACAATAGGACAGAATGGAGCACAGAAGGCAGAGATGGATTATGCCTGGCAGAGAAGAGGGTGCTTTTCTGGGGGAGCTCTTTATGAAATCTCCCTTACAGCTCACTCTCTGCACTAATGAAATGCTGTAGCTGCTGCATTTTAAATCATCTCATCAACAACTAAAACTGTGCTTTTGAGACTGGAGAAAAGGAACACAAGGCTACATTTCATATAATGTATATTACTGTACAAAGTTGGTATACATAATTGCATTCCTACATTCAAATGTGCTCAGTATTTTTCCTCAGTATTATTAGATTCACATGCAACAACATCGGTTCTATCTTTCCTTGGAAAGTGCTGCCCTCTGCTGTGTAGAATAGCTGCATTGCATAAGAAAAAAAAATGCCATTAAGGAAACATGTCTCACTCTAATGCCAGCAATTTTATATAACAAATATTGTTATGTAAGAGAGGAAATACCAAAACTGTACATTACCATACTGTTCCTACATTTCCAACAATTTAATACTCATACAGGTAAAAGTCAGAACAAAAGAGCATCCACTCTAATCATACAGATTCACAGCAGCCCCTCTCCACCACAAACTGGACATTTGGACCTCCATTCTTCTTTAGCCGGGCCTCTTCTTGGCGGCTGCTCTGCTGACTGTGCTGAGCTTTCTCTGAGGCCTGTAATTGTCTCTGGTAGCGTTGATTCTCCTCGGGGTAGGAGACCACAGACAGAGGCAGTCTGCAGATGGCTGGGATCTCAGAGGAAATGAGGAGGAAGATGAGAGTCGACAGGCAGAAAGGCCACGTGCAGGCTGGTAATGCAAGCTGAAAGGGGATGTCAGAGAAGAGGAGAGCATGACACATGATATGAGAGACATCTGGGTGTTCAAAGGACGTTTATTGAGTTTGACTCAGGAAGAAAGTTTCTTACTTACCACAGACATCAGTTTGGAGATTGCCGCAGTCATGTACGCGCAGAAAAATGCTGGAATGAGACATATTTTTGCATTTTTGTGTCTGACCAGCTACCCGAGGAAGGATAGCAATTATGCTGTTCATCAGTCTTACCACATATTAGAGCCAGAAGATGGGTTTGCCATGTTATGACATAGAAGACCCCTCCAATGGCAATGCAGGATAGGGCACTGTTATATCCCCACAGCCCTGAGTAAATATCCTTGCAAGGAGCTGCCAGAGCAAGTCCTGCACCACACATCAGAGCAGTGTTCAATATTCCCCACGAAATTCATTATTACATAGAAACAACTGCACAAATGTGTGATTTGGAAACTGAGTCAACAAACACAGGCTATGCAGCATTATTTGAGAAAACATGCTGTGGTTCATTCACCATAATGCCATGGTGGCCTTTGAAGAGCCAAAGCTCCCGTTGGAGACTCAACAGACATTATGCATATTTCTATTCAAATGGGAAAGTCTTTTTACCAGACAGCATGCCAGCAGCAGAGCCCAACATGGCATGATAACAGATAGTTGGTGAGGAAAGCAGCAGGGCCAGAAGGATGAGACCTCCTGTCCAAGGACTGTCGCAGCCGTACACCTGGCCAACACCAACTGGCACTGACAAGAATAACTGAAAATGGAAAGCCCCCATTTACTTATATTTTAAACAATTAGCCTTTATTAATAAAGATAATGTGTGTGCAATATAGCCACTACAATGATTTAGATTGTGTGGGGTTTCAAGAGCTAGTGGACCAATAATAATTCTGTTATACCTGAGAGATATTGAGGCTTTTGATGGAATCATTAGGAGGGGGCAGATGGTAGTTTGGCTGGATATCCACCTGAATTTGAAAGGAAAAAAAGTAGGTTACATTTTAATTTTCATCTAAGCACTGTGCAATGTGCATCCTTGTTTGTATAGCTGGCCTGTACTGTACCTCTGGAAAGTAGGGGTGATTGGCTCCCGTAGCTGCAACATGCAGACACACCAAAATATTAAAGGGCAGGGTGAATATTGGGAGGTCCCATTTGCTGGCAACTGAGGACAAAGCACCGGATACCACCGGGCTGTGAACAGAAGCAGGAAATGGATTACTGATTGGGGCCAAGCATTACATTGGCCAGCTTTTGTGGGATTACAGGTCACATTCACAGCTAGCTCATGTTACTACACTACAGTGCATGGTAAAAGAGTTATGCCATCCAACTCTTTATTGGATATGAGGAAGTTTACTGAACTTGCTGAACTTGTTAATCGGGATATTAGCCGAGCATTACATTTGTCAAACACATCAGTTAGTACCTACACTCAAAGCCTTTTAAAACTGAAACATAGCATACTGTTTGAAAATATGAATAGTATAGTATAGTAGTAGTCTCCTGGTAGTTCCCAAAACAAGATTTAGAGAGCCCTCAAACTGTGCAACAGACTTCCAGAAGAGATCCGGAGGTGGTTTTATTGTTTTATCATTTTATTTAATTCTTTTTTCTTGTTTTAAAATTAGTCAGCTGGAGACCAAACCAACTAATGTTACCTTAATTAGCTAGCTAGCTATGAGCTAATAATGAGATAATTGGGAGGGAGAATAGAGAAAGGATTTTCAGATTTTTACTGCATGCTGTTGCCTTTGTGTCTCATCTGTTTATAGTGTGCTGTTACCAGTGTGTGTGCAATCAAACGAATCGCTTACCACAACATGGACATGAACACATTTGGCAATAACAGCCACCAGTACCAGCTTCCTTTGGCAGAGAAAACAGCCATCAGTATGCCCACCAAGGTTCCATTGTAGCCATATAAACCCGCTGATGCAGCTTCCCTGAGGTGAATGTGACAGATGTAGTCAACATGAGTGCAAAACACAATTAAGTGAGAAACACTGAGAGAATAGCACAGTGTGAAAGCTAAAGTAAGTGTAGCCCCAGGGAATATAAGTGGAAGAGACAGTAATGATGGCTTCATGGTAGGAGGGAAATGTGTTTTTATTTTATTTTTCTAGGATGAAGTCAAATAAGGAAAGGAAATGCCATCTGACCTGTTTTGTCCCAGTAAGATGGCAGACACAGTGGATACAAGGGTACCCAGCAGACCGTTCAGAGCCCACCAAGGGTTCTGGAGAAAGAGGCCAGCCATGATGAGAAGCCCACTGAGAGGGTTGTTGACAAACATGACCTGGGCCACCCCTCGAAAAACCCAGTCCAGCAGCTGGATTACTACAGCCTGTCCTGTCATAGATGGATAGTGTTCAGTCATAGTTTTTTATTTTGATGATCTATAGTGTAGATAAAAAAAAGGCTTAAATGTCAAACAGAACCAATTTGAAATCATATCATTTTCAGTTCAGTAAGTCAAATTACTACATTTGCCCACTTTTATTCATTCAAATGTAACTGAGATGTGAAACAGATGATCACCTACTTTTCACCCATTCTCTGCAGGAATGCATGTCCCCGACGAAAAACCCAACGGCTCTAAAGAGAAAGGAGCGAGCTGGAGCTTTACGCGATGGCTGGTTATTGTTGTCCATAGCTGTAAATGGAGTTTATCACAATTGTCATTTTAATACAGGAGCTGTATGATATAGCAAATTTAAAAAAGCAGGTTTTCAGTAATTAACTGTCCAGACTGAAAAATCAAAACAGCTATTGGATTGCCATTAAGTTTGCTACAGATACTCATGGTGCTCAGAGGATGAATGTTAATGACTTTGTTAATCCTCTGACTTTTCCTCTAGTGTTACCAGCAGGTCAAAGTTTTCACTTATCCAGTAAAATATTATATAACATAATGATATATAACAGACAGATTGGCACCAATTTCTACAGTCATTCATTATTCACAAATAATACATCTTAATCTTTTGTGATGCTGACAGTTGTGTGTTTTGTGTGACATGTTTTTACAGATAGTTTTCCATGAATATTTCATGTCCCCATCATTGTGAGAATGTTAGCCCGCTGATGTTAACAGTACATCCTCACAGAGCTGCTAGCATGGCTGTAGACTCTTGAGAGAGTCTTGTTCTACTTCTCCAGCTTTTTGTTTGATGCTCAGCAAACTCCCCTATCACACAATCTGTATGATAATATCCAAATGTTATTTATGTTCATTTGGGTTTCTGTTATACTATTAATTTAGACACTGATATTGTCATCCACCCTTCCCCTCGCTACTCACAAATTACAGACAAGTCGACGCCTTCCTGCAAAAACTAAATCAGTGTGGTTCTCCTTTCTCCCTGTGGTGGAAACAATTCCAACAGAGAAGTCTGAGCTGAAATCAAAACCTTATTCTCAGTTTGCCACAGCGTTTTCAGTTCTTTTTTATTTTTATATCTTTTTGAAGGAGTGATCAAAGCAGATTTCCCAAAGAGCTTCCCACTGTTACCGTCAACATCCTCAGTCACAGTTCTCTGCATGAAAGCCTGGGTGTGTTTATGTTGCTCAGTGAGCGGCGGACCTCTTGATCTGCCAGCTCTCTTCTGTGCTACAATACTTCTTAAGAATCAACAAATATGGAAGCTACTGAACACAGCTCTGCAGTAACTTGTGATTGAATGTGTTATCAAATAGAAAACAATCCATAACCTCTCTTATGAACTGTTATCTTTCATGTGTCCACAGGTAGTTCAGACCATGAAACTTTTTGTTCTTAACGCCAAAACCCATCATATTTTTATGGCTTTTGTTACTGTTTGCTTCTTTTATTTGAGCACACTCATTCTTAAATAGGCTACCAGGTGCAGAGTTCAGAACTTGATAATTTTAGTTAGGATAAAACTAGTGTTGAGTGGTGGCAGCACCTTGTCTGATTGTCCGCTTTCATGCAAATCAAGTTTAAGTTCAGCTGACAAAAAATAAATAAATCATTCAAAGATAATAAATCAGTACAATTCTTAAAGGAGTTCTGCCTCCAGACTGAAAGTACAGCAGAGCCAATGAAAGATCTATAAGAACTTAAGTCTGTAAAGACGTTTTATTGACTAGCTGCAAGGGGAAGTGACTGATTTCTGATTTATGGTCAGTTTGATTAATTAATTTAGTAATACAGAGTGGGCAAATGTTGTGCTGTTATTGAATTTAGGCCTACCGGCTGCATTTATTATTTCTGATTCATACCAGTTTTAACAAAATGTGGCAACACTGCTGTTCATTTACAGGTGAGTCATTTCACTTACATAATAAATATTTTAAAAAAAGGGATGTCTTACCTCTCTGAGTTGAAGATTAATCTCACAGCTCTGTTACCTACCGGCTACTGTACCAGCTAATGAAGGCATACATAAAAGCCAGATATAAAGGAATCTGCATGATGTTATGTAGCCTCTCCTTGCATTAAAGCCTAAAAAGTACTCATTCTTGTCTCTCTTCTGGAGGACCCCTGCCTGGAGCAAGGACCAAAGTCTCTCTATTCATCTCAGCAGCTAATCAGGGAGAAGAATGTTCTTATTAGAAAAGTATTTCCTGCTCAAGCAAAACACTGGCCTTTGTTTCTAGAGGATCACCCTCTGAGCAAAATGAAAACATTCGAGAGCCCATTTGCGCTTTGTAGCTGAGCTGCCCATTATTTTTTCTGTTGCAGCATAAATATGAGTAGCACATAATTGCTAAAGTTAGACCAAATTAAATCACCATCATGCAAACTTGATACGCCTCTGCAGGATAGAGAGATGGGGTGGCACAGAGCTGTAAAACTCTATGCCCCCTTTCTTGTGACACTGTAGCATCCAAACTTGTATTGTTGCTGTTGCGCGAAGAGTCTGGGTGAGGAAATGATTAACAATGAATGGTATAACCAATGGATACCCTGTGAATAAAAATCTCCACAAATTTCTGAATAATGCGCTGCTTGTCATGTTTGCCTGTCCTTTGTTCAGGTTAGAGCAACAGCCCTTTAAAATGTCTGTATACAGTATGTATATGGCTGTATGATGTCTTGTACTCTGGCATCTTCAACATTGAATTATATGAGAAACACATCTAAACATGAACATTTTAGTAAACACATAAAACGTATCATCATAATAACACCTTTAAAATCAACATCAACATGAATCGAATATATTTTAAAGCCCTTTATTTTGACCAGGTTCTCGACTACATAGATATGAAAGGATCAAAATCTTAAGGACCAAACAAGGTAACACTGAGCTTTAAATTAATCATCTACAATAAGTGTGACAAAGCACAATCTGAAATTTGAGTCATAAAAAACTTGGTTTGTTCATCCTCTCCACAAAAGGAGTAAAAATACCATTTCGATGGTTGAACAAATGCAACCAGTTTATGATCAAAATGTAGAAAACATCAGTATGAGGTTGATCCAACGCAGGTTCTGATTGCACACGTTTATTCTACACTTAGGCTAAAATCTTCTCAGTTAATACTGTATGGGAGAAAATACAGTTTTTATAATGATGATGAAACCGCAGGGGCCTCTGGTGCTAAAACTATATGCAATGATGGAACTGAAATACTGAATAGTATGTCCATGTTATGTTGCATTACAAGTTCATATGTTATGTTTCTTTTGTTCCTATGTCATGTCATGTTGCCTCATGTTTGGTAAAAAAGTTTTTAAGAGATGACTAAAGGAGGAAGACACAATTGGGTAAAGGAAACAGACACAATACAGTACAAAACTTGTGGTCACATATGCACAGAAACTGTACACATCAATACACACACAAACATACGCTCACACACACACACATTCACATAAACATACTCTCTCTCTTACACACACACACACTGAAGCATTCTTTTGGAGATCTGGCGGTCATATTTCTGTCTCGACTTTACAGTGAGTCAACACCGTGCTGAGTGCTGAACTCCTGGAAATCCTCTGGGATTGTGTCTGTGGAAGTGAGAAGTGAGGTGTCATGAGACAAGCTCAGAATCTACAACCAAGTGAGGCCAAACTAATTCTATTCACAGCTGTAGTCTTGTTTATGCAACCGCAAGATAAAATGTAAGTATTATTACTGTCCTACTTTTCAGACACAAGTTATGAAGGACACTAAGAAGGACACTAAGAAAATAGGTTAAACGCTTTGAAAGCAGCACAAAGATAAATTAAGTGTTCCTTAGCATGTCATCACAGTAATTCAAAATAAGAAAGAATGAGTTTCTTATAGACTTTTTCATTAAACGTGTCCTTACCATTGCAGCGGTATTTCAAATTGGACCAGATGATGTTTTCTTGAGAGAAACAGAAGACACCAAGTCGTCCCCCTCTCATGGTTGTGTCAATGGTCACGCCAGAGTCGGCCACCAGCTCAGTTCCCTCATAAAATCGAGCCCTAAACAAGACACAAGAAGGGATTTAAAAGGGGTTTAATCTATGTTGTGTGTTCCACTCTATAGTATATAGTTTAGGAAAAATGCTTATTCACTTTCTTGCTTCTTCCCTGTCTGTAGAGCTGCAGCAGCTAGTAGCTTAGCTTAGCATAATGAGTGAAAACAGGGGGAAACAGCTAGCCTGGCTTTGGTAAAATGAACAAAAGTCTACCAGCAACTCTAAATCTAAATAATATATCTATAATAATTATATCTAGTTTATTTGAATAAATAAATAACATTCACACTAAAGTTTAAATAAAAAAATATATAATATGTTAATTAGAAGGCTGAACTTTAGAGGGGCTGGTGGATTTTGTTTCCTACGAACAGAGTCATGCTATCTGTTTTTCCCTGTTGCCAGTTTTTATGCTAAGATATAAAAAGAAATATATGAGAGTGAATCAATCAATCTGCTCATCTTGCTCTTGGTGAGAAATGAAATAAGTGTATTTCCCAAAATGTCGAACTATTCCTTTATCAAGACAAATATGTAGAACAGCTTTTCTCATACCTGATGTATCCAACCTGTGGGCGGTGCTGCAGGTACCAGCGGTAGGACACCTTATCCTTCCAGCCTACATTTCTTGGGTCTTTCCACAGCAGACGAACCTGGTCGTTGGTGTCTCCTGTGTGCCACAGTGAGTTTCTCAAGTGCTCCCCGGGGCCTGATGTAGACTTCACAGCCTGACAAACAGAGACACGGAGAGAAGTGAGGCGGGTGTGGAAGCAGACAGGCAACAGAAAGGCAGAAATGTGGAAAATATGTCAAGGGATAAAAATAGGATGAGTATGAATCTGCTGCTGGGGGATTTGTGACATGACTTGTACTTTTCACCTTAAGCTGGATGCCGGGCTCGGCCACAGCTCTGAAAGGTGTTGCCTGCCAGTAGGTCTGCTCAGTCTGCTTCCACATCACCACGTAGAAAGAGGATGAGTCCTGGTAGCCAAAGATGAAACCGGCGTAGTCGTCGTCAGTCACTGTATTTACGTGAAATGTGCCCTCGAAGTCTACTCCACTGAAAGCAGTGTAACCTATAGACAGAAAATGTAATCAGTACATTATTTACGTTCAGAATGGGCTTTTTTTGAGAATATTGTGTGACTGATCTTCAACTTAGAGGAAATGTGTCTTACCAACAGCCAATCCTGGGTCACTATTCATGGTCTGAACAATCTCCATTCCCTGCGCGAGAAAGAGTTGTTAATAAGGAATTTAGCAAGTCTCATTAAGCTATTTATACAAACTAAGGTGTATGAGAATTTATTTTGCATGCACTGTACATTTAGTTGTTAGCAATGGATTAAACCTGCAGTAACTGATTGTTTTGGCCACTTGGGGGCAGCGGAAATATCATCAGCTGCAGATTCAGGACATAATTCTCTGCAGGTTCATCACTCTTAGCCCCTCATAATCATCTAATATCATCCATTGTTATAAAACCACTATAAATTTAATTCATTAACAGTTATCTCACCTGGTTCAAAACAACCCAGTTGGGATCAATCTGGGCGTCCCCCTCAGGGTCCAGCACCACCGTCTGATAGGCCCTGAAGTCAGTCAATGTAACCTCGGCATTCTCAGGACAGTTGTCTATCCTGTCAATCACTTTGTCTTGGTCGAAGTCAGACTCACACACGTCTCCAACTCCATCATCTGAGGGACAGCAGAGGGGGGATTTAGTCTTAAATTAAAGTTAAAAAGACAGTTGATTGCTGTTTCATGATCAAGGCGCAGACACTTGTTAAAAGTTTTTGATTGCAGACAATAGCCTAGATTGTGTTGCGTCAATTATGCAAAGTGAGCCGCTCCTTTTATTCCCTTTAAAACCAGCGTGTTTCCTGCCTTGTCACAATGAGGAGATTTTCGACAAAATTTTTAAAAAGGCCTGCCTCCAAAGAAAATTGATGTCCTTTTTAAGACTCTGCAGAGCTGCGAGGCCTGAATATAAAACATTTCAAATATGCTGCCGAAGTGCAAAGAAATTTCCTTTCTTACGGGGCTATTCACATTTTAACAAAAGAATAAGAATGAATGTTGCATTTGTTTAATTTTGATGGATTGAGTGGAAGCTCTTTTCGCCACCCTGCTGTGACAGAGTGTTCTCAGAATTAGAAATTACTCTGCTGCATTTGCCATGCTAAAAAGAGCTACAGTGTTATTTCTCTAGCACATTTGTTGTATGTTGGAGTCATGATACGCTATTAAAGGTTGAGTGTGGCAAATTTAGGAGGATCTATTGGCAGAAATGGAATAAAATATTCATAAATATGTTTTCGGTCGCCTTCAATGGAGTCTGCCGTGTTGAACTGCCATATTTCTACAATAGCCCAGAAGGGACAAAGCTCCAGATAGGGGAGTTCATGCTTTTTCGTGGCCACCATAGTTTGACGTTAGCACTTGGAATGGGGAGGGTGAACCAAGGAAGTTGCAATCTGGAATTACACATTGCAACTATATCCTAGACGCTGGACCTTTAAGACTGTTAATGTACAGTATCTACAGCTACTATAAAGATCACAAACTCAGTGGTTCCTGTAATCATTTTGTGCTATTGTTGCTTAATTTGAATGTCTTTTCCAATGTGGTTAATCTCCAAAACAGGTGAATAAATGTTTTGTGCTTGTATATTCCAAACTGGTGGGTACACACCAGGTCTCTCTGTCTCTCTCTGTCTCTCTCTCTCTCTCTCTCTCTCTTTCTCCCCCAACTGGTCAAGG